TAAGTGCTTTTGGAAGTACAGCACAAATACCTCGAGGCAGGGTGTTAAGATTTATAGATAGGAACCTGTATAGCTTTGTATAGTGTCCCACACCCCGGTTGGAACCCAAGAAGACGCAGCGCCTCTTGTGGTTCCAGAGAAAAGCGTGACCGCTTCGAGTTGTACTGTTTAACTACTTTGCCCTTCTTGCTCTTTTGGGTTTTCAGAACCCAGAGAGGCGACGCCATGCGTCAAAACAGGCAAGCAAAACCTCAAGTACAACAGTAAAACTTCACAAGCATTAAGGGATGCGGGGGCTCCGTGACACCTTAGGACAGGCCAAGCCCGTTGCCCTTGAAAATCACGAGCAACTGGCCTCCGCTAAGCCAAAACAAGGCTGGGAGTCACTGTAAAGTGGAGGTTGTGGTTTGATGGACTTGAGTGCTGGTTTAGGGGGGGCAAAGACTTGGGCACAGGGTGCTTGTAGAGGGGTACGAAAACCCGGGTCCGCTGTCAAAAACCATGATATCGTGCACGGTTGTCAAAGGACGACCAGAAGAACGACAATGCCTTCTCCGACAAATGCATCGACATCTCCTACGACTACGTGTAACGCGTTGCACAAGAAGAGGTGCGAGATTTCGGAGTTGCAGTGTACAAATGCATATGAATTCAGATGGTGTTCAGACTTTGGTCAACCAACCACATCAGTGCTACGCCTCTGCCCTTTCCTCTGCCCCCAACATGAGGGGGTTTGGGGGTTTAGGGGTTTTTTTGGTTTAGTCGGCCTGCGCGCTGTGGGGAGGGGGGGCGAAACCAGCTCTCCCCAAAATTGCTCTTTGTGGACAAAGAGATGAATTCCCGCGCTTTTGTCGATGCCGAGGCAAAACAGCATCAGGGCATGAAGTGTTGTTATGGCAGCCTTCGATAGTCTTGGATTGCTGATCCTGGGCCCTAGGCCCCTTGCACAACATACACAATCTCGAGTGCAGGAACGTAACGTGATGCGAGATCGTATTCTAATGTGTTTGGGCTCCAGGGAGGTTTAGCGCCCCTCGTGAGCTTGGAGTGGCTCAACATGGAAGTTCTGTCGCCGGTGGTTCGCGGCTTAGATGATGGCTTCGCAAAGTGCCACAAGTAATTGAAGCAAGTTGGCTGGATATTTTGCTCCAGGCAGCAGCCTCGTGGCGGGCTTCTCAGGTTACAGCAGCTTCAAGTAGAGTGTCTTCAGACCCAGCTGTTTAGACATCGATGTTGCAAAGCTGTCGCATGCACCAGGATGCCATGCAATTATGTCGCGCCTCCGGCTTTGCTGAAGCTATCTCAGGAGAAAGCGCTGTCAGCGAAGGCCCGGGAAGCCAAAAGAGCAGAGGGCTCAGCGTGTCATTGACATTGTCATGGTGAAGCCGCCGAGAATTGTGTTGTTGTGGTTGTGTTATGCCTGTTATGCTCAGAGTCTGGACAATGTGTTGAGAGGGACGTTCTGAGGGCATGTTTCGCAGGCAAATGCTGCAAGGCTGAAGGTCGATTTGGCTGTTACATTCAAGTGTGTTGCCGATGCAGTCTTGCAGAAGGTGATGGAGAAGTTGAAGAGCTCCAATCTTTTTGTCGCAGAGCAAGGCGCTGAGGACCTGATGAATAAAACAATGGATGCTGGCTTGCGGCATCAGATGGCAGAAGATGGTGCCTTCGAGGCCCTGGTTGCGGCTATGCGACAGTTTGCAGAGAGCAAGTCCGTGCAGTATTCGGCCATCGTGGCGTTGGGCAACCTTTGCCGTGAAAACACCAGGAGAAAGCAGTGGGCAGTCCGCATTGGCGCATTGGGGGCGATTGTGACGGCCATGACAGGATTTGAGCACTCAAAGGTGATACAGCACAAAGGCGTTGAAGCTCTCCATAGCATCTTGGTGGCCCAGTGGTGCCCTTTTTTGCACTGTTTTGGTTTTGGTTCCTTTGTCAATGTAACCAACACCAAAACTGTTACCCTTGTTAATCACGAAAGCTAGCCGGTAGAACCTAGCCTGAAGTCTCTTACCAACCGTAAGGTTGAGCAACAGGGGTGTGGGGAGTGGGTCCGGCTGGAGGGTGTGCAAGAATGAAGCGTCCCGGCCCATTTGGGTGTCCAGCCCTACTTTTTTTGAGGTCCGGAACGGTACCTCGTCAGCCCGAAAATTGCTGCCTTTCACAAGTGGCGCTTGGGCCAGCAGTACATGCAAACTATTCGGGGTGTGAATCCATGTTTCGGTCAGCAATACATGTTTAAGAGCTGACTGCAAACCATGCGGGTGTGATCCGAATAACCTGTTTGGCAACTGTTGCCTCCACGAGAAGCACCGAAGCCACGCTACTACATCTCCACGAGCCGCATCGAAACTATGTACGGGTGAGTTGATACTTTGGGGTTGGGCATTCCTGGGATTCTCTGGAGATCCAGTTGGGGCTGGGCGCTCCAGGGATTCTCTGGGGAATACTCGCGGGTCAGGGATATTCAGGGATTTTCTGTTGATAGTCTTGGGGTTGCGCGCTCCAGGCATTTTTTGCGGATGTTCTAGGGGCTGGGCACCGCGGGTTCTGTGGGGATACTCCGGGGCTCGGCACTGCAAGGCACTCCGGCGGCTGTCTGGGGATATTCTGGGGCTGGGCGCTCCGAGAAGAGTTTAACAAGCCCACACCGAGGGTGGGGAACAATGAACACCAGCTGGCCTGCGCGAACATCGCTTCTAGTGACTAGTGCTGAGCTTGCACTACAAAACAATGAAAAGCCAACCGGCTTACGGAAACAGATGGGCCCCACCTAAAGCAATAACATGGCATTCCGCATCGTATCCTGTTATTATCCGAGCCAATTTTGTCCTCCGTCATATGAATTCATGTCGCCCTGCATAATCTTCATTGATTGACTGCCTTCTGAGTGCATTGGGTAATCAGCTGCAATTCTCACACTTGCCCGTTCGGTCGACGCTGCTCTCTTGTAGCTTCTCGAGCAACTGCATTCCTGCCGTCCCCCACAAGTGATATGGTTACTGGGCTACCGAGGCATCTGTACTGGCAGCGACAAAAATGCCGCACATCGTGCAGCCATGCTGCGGCAAGCTGGTGGCACCGACGTCGTGAAGCGCGCTCAGGAAGGGTCCCCGAGCAACATGGGCCTACAGCAAACAGCCAACGGCTTCCTCATGGAGCTGGACAATTTGTGCGTCAGAGCCTCACGAGACCTAAAGCTTGGTCCTGAGGATGAGTCGTCTAATCGTCTAGCCCGACCTCGATTTTATTAGGTTCAATGACCAGGGCCATGCGCAAACTCTGTTCTATTCACAACGTGAAGTTGTCATTGTGTTTCATGAAACTGCTGCTGGGCCGCGGATCTCGGCAGATGTGTCGCGGCGCTGTGAGCCTAGGATCTGCTTTCGGTTGTTGGGGGTTGTTGGGGGAGCTCCTTTTTTGTTTGTTGCAATGTGTATGTATATATATATATATGTATGGACACCCTCCCAGTGACCTACCAGTTTTGTCTCGTCAACGGATTAGGTTTTGTTTGAGGCCCGGGACATGGCACATAGGGTGAACATCATGGAAATTTGCAAAGCCGAGGTGTCCACAGTTTTTCGGCAAAGCCCCCAATATTTTAAACCTCTCAGCGTGTTCAGCCTCAAAGATGCGCCATGGTCTGGGGCTCCACAAGCTGAAGCACCGGTCCTCGAAAACATAGGGAGTTGTCGTTGTTGTTAGCCTCACAGGCGCGATGCTTAAAGCACGGAGACCCCGAAGCATTTCGGACTTCAAAGATTTCTGCTCGAGTTGTATTTATACATATATATATATATACATATACAATGTATTTTTGTCTGGGTACTTCGTGAGTGTATATATATATATATATATATATATGTGGTACCCCCCCCCCAAAGCCCACACCTTTTCCTGTTCAGGTGCTACATCCGGTACTTGCTGCCTGGGTTCAGGGTTCGGGTTGGGGGTTCATGTCACGCCCCTTTTAATTACACATGAAATCTTACAAACCGTCAACAAAGAGTCAACTCACGATACCAAGTTTTGGAAATTCAAAAAATTCCCAAAAATATCAAAATTATTAAAGAAAAAAAGCAACAAAAATCCAAACAATTCCAACAAAACCAACCAAAATTCCAAAAAATAACAGACAGCAGTTTCGGAATTTTAAAATTTTTGTAATCTTTGGAATCTTTGGAATTGTTGAATTTTTGGAATTTACGGAATTTTCGGAATTGTCGGAATTTTCGGGAATTCTGGAATTTTTGGATTTGAAAAATCATGTGCGTGTCGGAATGCAATCACTCTCGGTCGGGACGTTTTTTTAAGTCACTTGAGCCAATCAGTGCTTGAGCCAATGCAGGCACAATAGGTATGCACTGCATGGTGTCTTGGACAATGACCATGTCACCTAACAGGGTGTGTGTGGGTGTGTGGGCGCGTGTGTGTGTTTGTGTGCTGGTGTTGTGTGTGTGTGTGTGTGTGTTGTGTGTGTGTGTGTGTTGTGTGTTGTGTGTTGTGTGTGTGTGTGTGTGTGTTGGAGTGGCGGGCGGCGGGCGGACGGGTGGACGCGCAGACGGGCGGATGACAGCCAATAAAATTAAGAACCCCTCGCAAAGATGTGGGGAAGAATTCGAAAATGTACAAATTTAAATGTATCCAACTAGGGGTCTGGAAACAAATCTGGATCTGGGATGCTGAGGCCAGACCCCCTAATGAAATACATTTAAACAATGTAAAAAACTGTTTTAATAATTTACATCAGCTGTTCAAAAACATTAAATTATGTAAACAGTCTAAATAAAAAAATTCGGTGGTCTGGAAATTTAAGACGCTGAGGCTAGACCCCCCCCCCCAACTAAATACGTCAATAGTCTAACTTAGTTGATGGAGGGTTTGGAAATATATCTGGATCTGAGGCGCTGAGGCCAGACCCCTTAATTCAACAAATTTACAAGATATACACTATGTAAATAATCTAAACCACCCATTTCAGTTATTTTTGCATTACTTAATTATTTAAACCTACTTAGTTTGGGGGTCTGGAAATACATTTGGATCTGAGACGCTGAGGCCAACCCCCCCCCCCCATATGAATCGATACAAGCCGCTACAAGCCAGTACCCATGTTTCCAAGATCCAAGATTGCAGGGAGGTCTTACAAACACATCTTGAAAGCATGAGCTCGACTCAGTGTTCCAAGATTTCCCTCGAAGACCTACCTGCAATCTTGGATCTTGGAAACATGGGGCCGGTACGACTTGTACCGATTTGCACCGGCTTGTACCGGCCCATGCCGAGTAATATAAACATATGAGAATATAACTCATAGACAATATAGTTTAACACGCTGGGACGGAAGCACATAGCACAAAAAAGCAACAAAAAACAACGCAGTGCCATCGGGGAAGTCGATAAACAATACATAAGCAGAAAAAGCATGGATAACAGGGGAGCGCCATATACTTACATGCAATGTTTTTATGTCACCCTCAACCCATTGGCCGCCCTAACCCCTAAACCAGGTGACGTGTACTGCTCTGCCAGGGGGGCCTTTGTCAGCTTTTGATGTGGGCCATTGTCAGAGATCAGCAGATGCGGGTTTAGTTCGGATTGCTCGCATGTATCGACTCGTTGTGTGTGCTTTTGCAGAACCGCTTAACAGGCGCGGGAAGACAAGGTTGTGGCTGAGAGAGCAGCCGAGGAAGCAAGGAAGGCACTGCTGCTCATGGTGGGACGTACTTTTTCTAAGTGACGTGTTATATCTCCATCTTGTGTAGGACGTACATTCGCAAGTAGTGTTTTTCGATGCAGCTAGTCGTGTACGAAAGAGTTCGTTTCGCTTGTGTCGAGGAGTTGTCCGTTGTTGTTGCTTTCTTAACCCCAGTGGGCAGAACGGTGCCCGAGATCACAAGTTGGAAATGGCGGTCCTCCTCAACCAGGAAATCCATGACGCCCCACCTCGGACCCACGTGCCGGCATTTGCGGGCCCTCTGGTGTTTTGGAGCGGTGCTTCAGGTGGGCAAGGGCATGCAACGAAGATATGCGATCGGCGAATTGGCACACCAAGTCGGCAGGAACAGTGTTGACTGGCAACACAAGCACGCTGCCGATAAAGCACGCAGCAAAGGTGGAGTAGTTGGCACCAGCTGATTTGCTTGTTGCAGAAGTTGTTTTTTGTAGCATGTTTAGCGAAGTGTCACTGAACTTGACAAGCGTCGAGAACACTTTGGCACCTTTTCTGCCACGACCCTCTGGTCAGCAACATCTTGGCTACGTTCCTGTGGCATTCCCCTGCCAGGTTGTCTGAACTTGCTAGCAGTTCGC